GGAGGCGTCCGTTGCGGGGCCCAAAACCCCCCCTTCACCCCCGCTTGGGGAAAAAAAGTAAAACCCCCCCTAAAAAAAAAAAAAAAAAAAAAATGAAAATTTATGTTCACACCAAAACCTGTATGTGAATGTTTACAGAAGCATTATTCATAATTGCCCAAACTAGAAACAATCTAAATATTCCTTAACTGGGAAATGGAGTAACAAACTCTGGTACATCCATACAATAGAATACTACTCAACAATGAAAAGGAATTCACTATTGACGTGCAATGACATAAATGAATCTTAAATCCATTATGCCAAGTGAAAGAAGCCAAATTTGGCTGGGCGTGGTGGCTCATGCCTCTAATCCCAGCACTTTGGGAGGCAGAGGTGGGTGGATCACCTGAGGTGAGGAGTTCGAGACCAGCCTGACCAACAAGGTGAAACACCGTCTCTACTAAAAATACAAAAATTAGTCAGACATAGTAGTGTGCACCTGTTGTCCCAGCTACTCAGGAGGCTTAGACCAGAGAATTGCTTGAACGCAGGAGGCAGAGGTTGCAGTGAGCCGAGATTGTGCCACTGCACTCCAGCCTGGGCAACGGAGAGAGGTTTCGTCTAAAAAAAAAAAAAGAAGCCAAATTCAAAGTACTACATATTGTATGGTTCCATTTTATATGACAGTCTGGAAAAGACGAAACTATAGGAATAGAGAACATATCAGTGTTGCCAGGGCTTACGGCTGGGGAAGGCTTTGACTACGAAGGAGTAACAAAAGGAAATTTGAGGAGGTGATTAACTGTTTTTTGTGTGTATGGTGATGGTTACATGATTCTTTGCATTTATCAAAACTCACAAAACTGTACACCAAAATGTGAATTTTACTGAATGTAAATTGCAATTAAATTATATATATTTGCATATCTATTATATGTATGTGTATATATATATATATGAACACTTTTTAAAAGTTTTTTTCCCTTCATATCACCATCATGTCACATCTCACTGATTTTCTATTTGCATAATTATTCTTTCCTAAGCCTGAAATTAGTTATGACTGTCTTTTTTTTTTTTTTTTTTTTTTTTTTTTTTGAGATGGAGTTCTCTGTTGCCCAGGCTGGAGCACAGTGGTGTGATCTCGGCTCACTGCAACCTCTGCCTCCCAGGTTCAAGTGATTCTCTGGCCTCAGCCTCCTGAGTAGCTGGGACTACAGGTGCACATCAACACGCCTTGCTAATTTTTGTATTTTTAGTAGAGATGGGGTTTCAATATGTTGGCCAGGTGGTCTTGAACTCCTGACCTCAGGTGATCTGCCCGCCTCAGCTTCCCAAAGTGCTAGGATTTCAGGAATGAACCACTGAGCCCAGCCAAGTTATGACCGTCTTCATTTCTATTAACTTTCCATTTCCTCTCCTTCCACAAATCCTAAACTTTAGTATTTGGAACTTATAATTTCTGAGTAAGTTATTCCTTCTGTCTCAAGAAGGCCCAATTCTTGTTACTGAGAGAGGTAAAATAATACACTATCTGCCCTGGGCACTTTAAGTGAGAATCCATTTATTGGGTTAACTGGCTGTCACTGTGGATGACAGTGAGCATGCCTCTGAGTGGCCAGGACATAGGACAGATGTGCTTTGATGGGAGAGAAGGGAAGCAAAAGCCGACAGCACCGCCAATGGGAAACTAGAGGCCAGAGGTAGAGGTGGAGAGCGGTGATCAGGGAGCGGAGATGAGAGCATGCCAAGGACATCCTGTGCTGACTTCACAGCACTGGCTCTGGGCATAGGCCAGTCTCTTCCGGGAGCTTTCATTTTCTCTCTTCCGAATCTGTCAACTCTCTGTTGCAATCTGTTTCACAGTCGAATAGCCAAAATCCTCTTCCTTTGTCTCTATTTATTCAACAAATATTTATCTAAACTGACTCTAATCACACTCCCTCTTGTTTGTCCTGCAGTGAAGCCCTTTTACATCTGCTTATCTCTTTTGATCCAAGGAAAGGAAGGAGAATTAACCCTGACCTCTAGAGAAGGAAATAGTCT